ATAATATTCTTCTCTCTCTCTCTCTCTCTCTCTCTCTCTCACTCTCTTTCTCTCTGTTCGTTTTTTTTTTTTTTTTATTTTATTTTCTTATCACGACGAATGAGCGCGCGGCGCGATCGCGATTTCTTCGAAAGTTTCCCAAGATACCTGAACACACACCTGGAACATGATCGTTTGAAATGGCTTTGCTTCTAGCCGACTTACGACGCGCGGACGAGAAGGAAGGTAATCACGCCAGTCGAACGTGTTAAAATAAAACGAGTTGCTTTTTGCCGGCCAAGTTATACGTTTCCTCCGTTTACTGAGAGCAGCTTTTCTGTTTTTTGGCGAATTATGAATTTATAATTGACTTGCGAGCTCCTGCTCTCTGTCGCCGCCCTCGTGGTGGCTTATTGCGTTTCTTTAACATGTATACACACAGCGCAGACACTCAGTTCTCAGTATATACACTTAAGCACGCACGTGAATTCAGAGCTCGCAGAGTCCCTCGAGAGAGAGGGCAGCGTTATTGAAAAGTAACGAAAGTTACATAGACATACGAGTTTTTCTCCTCCGAGTATATGCAGCGAGGCATCGCATTCTTCGGGGTACCCTGCGGCTCCACGTACTACAAACCCCAAGTTGATTTTCACTCGCTTTTGTAGCGCTGCTTGTAGTTGATCCTATGTTTAAATATCATGCCGACTTTCATCTAAAATTGAGATACTCCGTAACAAGTTCCACTAGATCCTCCTCTGTAACTATTCAATTGGTAATTTGGACTATATTTAATTTAATGTAACTAATTATATGTTTTTATTCTATTTTTATTTTATTATATATTTAATTAAAATAAAATTATATATATTGAATTATAATTGGTGATTTTTTTTGGTGAAATCTATTTTTGTATATATATTTTTTTTATTTATTAGCCCTGAATTATCTAATCCTCTCTTTTCGATGGAAGTCGGTGAGAATGTTCGGATATTGTTTGATTATCCCCTTTTATTTGAATCTAAATGTTCCAGTAACTCCTTCTAGATAGCGCATTAGTATAACATTGTGTTTAATTCTGTGATTCTAGTGGTGGGACGAGGTCATGGACATATTTGACGGGGTACGCCATTTTTATATTAATGCGTAGTTAAATAAGAATTTTCTCCGTCTCTCTCTCTCTCTCTATTTCCTTCGCTCTTTCTTTCTTCGTTCTATCTATTATCACTGGTACTATCTCCCGCGTAGATGGTAAGACTCAATTAAAATTAACATTTTCCATTACTTTGAAATTAATCTGGTAGCGCATTATCTTGAGGGATCTTGTAGAATTACCACGTGTTTCCCACGTAAATCTTCTTTTCCTTTACTCGTACAAAACTTTGTCGTAAAATCGGAATCGCGAATACGAAGATGTCGCGTTTTCTAGAATCGTGGATAATTTTCATTTTTTAATTTCACTCGCGGAAAGCTCGCGCATTAACGTGACCGTCTCTCGGGATGCATATTTTCGACGAATTTTTTGCAGCATACGGTTTGTAAAAGTACGCTTTGTAAAAATAATTTAGTGAATAACAGTCGAGGAAGAGCAGCGACGAACGATCTTCCTCGCGCGACTTAATATCACACGTGATAACTAAGGTCGGCTTATCGCGTCGCGATAATCGATCCTTGCACCCGACCGCGCACACCGGGCGCATGCAATAATTCCCCATGGGGAATTTCCCGACGTTACTTAAAGTACCATATATAGATCTTCCGATAATGATAACAGAATTGAAAGATTTATATGGAGAAGCATTACCGGGTGCAAAGAATTTTTGCATATCGCGATGAACACGCGCGTACCGTGCTCCCTGTGTTAACTTTCCTCCTTATGCACGTATGTGCATGTCGGTATGTCGTTTTACCGATCGCACCTATAATGTATCTTCCGTCTTGAACCCTCCATCCTGCGAATCGACGAATCGCCCGGATCCGACCGGATCGTCCGCTCGTGACCGATGTCCCCCGATCGTGTGTGTGCGTGTGCGTGCTCGTCGATGTCTTTGCGTGTCGTGTCCGCTCTCGAATGCCACCCCGTACTGCTCCATCCATCCCCCTCCGACGACAACAACAACGACGACAACGACGACGATGACGACGACGACGACGGGTCATGGGTGACAGTGGCTGAACGAAAACGGACATCCTCAGCATGCCAGGATGGAGTCTCTGGACGATGGCGTCCGGCAGTCCCGTGTCCTCAGTCTCTCTTACCGGCCGGAGGACAGTGTAAGAATACCGGCGATCAGCAGCACGAAAAGCTCCGAGTTGGTTGGCAGCATAAGGCGGTCGCGTCCGGTGGCACCGGAGGACACGACCGATCGGTCGATCGATCTGTCCTGCAGATCGCACCGATCCAAAACCCCGGTCCAGGAACCCCGATCCAAGTCGTCCCTGATCCCACCGGTCGAATCTACCGATCGGTCGAGCGATCGTCCAATCGCCACCGGTGATGATACCGGGGACGGTCGTATCATCCGGCCCCTGGAACGCGCCTCCGCCGCCGCTGCCGCCGATCCCTGCTATTGGCACGCCGCCGGCATGCTGGACGGAAGATCCAAAAGCTTCGTGTTGCCGGATCGTTGCCCGGCGCGCCGGTCGCATCCGATCGGGATCGAGCGATCGGCGGTGTCGCCGCTTCCGGCCGTCGCCGCGATCGCGCCGAGCTTAACCGGCAACAGCATCCAGCAGCAGCAGCAACAGCAGCAGCAACAGCATCGTCATCATCATCATCATCATCATCATCATCATGGCCAGCATCATCATCATCATCACGAGCATCAGCATCATCATCAACATCGCCACCATCAAGACCAAGAACAACAGCAGCGACTGCCGCTCTCTTCTTCTTCTACTTCTTCTTCTTTTTCCAGCACCGATCATATCATGCTACCACCATCACCGACAACACCCTCCGTTATCACCACGCAAGCCGTTTCACGGGTTAGAACGGCTGTCACATCATCGACAAGTAGAGTGCACGATGACGTTGTCCTCTATCTGTCTATCTATATATGTCTATCTCTATCTGACTATCGAGCCGTCTCTCTTATCTTTTTTTCTTCTTTGCATCTTGTCACGTATTCTATTATTCTCTTTGTTCTATTCTTCTTTATATGCCTGTTCACACCACACACACACACACACACACACACACACACACACACACACACACACACACACACACACACACACATACACACACACACACATCTATATCATACTCTATACTTTACCATGTTTTCAGCGCTTCTCTGTACATTGCAAAATTCCAAAAGCACTGGAAAAAGATTTTTAATACACTATCCGCGCACGATACGGCATGAGCGAAGTATTTTGTTACAGAAGCGAATTTATTGATTGATATGAACGATATCAGTTACATTTAATTCTTATTGTAAATCAACGATTCGTACAACACTTATATTTTTCTCACTTACAAGATCGTTCACAGCATCTCTCTCAGACACATTTTGCATCACAAGCGACTGTTATCGTATACAACTGTCAATCTCCTCCGTATCTTGAATCTCTCCTACGTACTTGCTTCCTCCTCCTGCATCTCTCATCCCCTCTGGATTATGTCTCATTAGCTTAATCCGGTCGCATCCCTCTTCATCCTGGCTTAGCATTACACGATTGCGGCATGATCTGCTCGATGTTCTGCTCGATGTGATTATTAATCACGATCAAAAGTCACCGACTACTCGGATCTCGAGTGATCGTGTCTCTCGCGCCGTGCGACACTATTATGCCGAATATATAGCGTATGCATAGCATGTCTCATGTAGATAAGCGATGCTCGAGCGATCGTCGAGCTAAACGGACGGCGACGGTAACGGTAACGTTTTCCATCTTTTTCAGCCCTTCGATCAGCGCAGCAACGCACGTGCCGCGGCCAAGCCGTACATGACTCAGTAAGTATCACGCCAATTTTCCGACCCCTTTAAATCGGAAATACAACGGAGTCGAGCTGTCATGATCTCACATTGACGTTTCTCGTCTGCGAAGTGCTCTCAAGGAGTCGGGCTACGAGAGCGACTCGACCCTGGTGTTTCGCCGTAGAGAAGATATCAGTCCGCTCAGTCTTCTGGAGCAGAGATTGGCATACAAAACGGTGCAGAGCGGTGGCGACGTGCCCCTCCATGGGCTTCGCAAGCCGGCCCCAGAACGTCCCAAGGGTAAGCCGCCCCCCCCCCCCGATCCCCGTGCTGTATTTTGCATTTTGATCTTTCTTTTTATCTCTTACCTTTTTTCATATGTCTTGATATGCTACAATCAGCACGCTGATCAACCGTCGGCCGTGTAACTCGAATTTACTCTTTGGCATGCAGGTGTATGTTTTAAGGTTGCTTGCAATGTGTGTGTTTTTATTAATTATCATTGTGTTTTGTTAATTACGCATGTATCCCGAAACTTCGAGCGATGAGAAAGAACACGAGTTTTTTCAGTGTTTCATAATTATGCGATAACAACAACGTAAA